AGATACCCCCACACACACACACACACACACACACACACACACACACACACACACACACATGCTTATGTACCCTCTAAAATGTCTGATAGTCTATTCTATCGTCATCTGACTAAATGTGATTATACATAATTTGTTAGATCATGTGTGTATTTACTGATAACGCTGCTAAAAGTTTATTTTTCAACAAGGATTAGGGGAGTATGAGACAAAAAGAGCCCTGCTGCATATTTTTACCATGTTGGCAGGTCTTAGTGGGAAAACACACAACTGAACCCCCCCCCACAAAAAAAGTGTGTGTAAGTGATTATTTTAGCCACAGACTTGTGCCTGGAAAAATTATTTATGCGTTTGCTAGACAAAGGTATTTTTATGGTTTTCAAATTTAGCACAATTGTGATTTTGGTTAAATACCTTTGTAAAGAATTCCTGTGTTCAAACAGGAAGTTTTGGTGGGACATATTGAAGGGGTTTTCCAAAAGGCTTTAGCTATGTCATAACAGTGAAGCATGATTTGCTACTGTCAGTTGTAGGCAGTATTATGGGGCAGGACATTCTCATTGTTGAGAGCATTTGATTGAATAAAAATATACATATTGCAGGATGAGTCATCAACACTTTGAATGAGTTCTCCTGTGAAAGTCACTGCAGATTTTAAATGTCTATCTGTTATACGTTAAAAATGCTAATGGTGGTTGGTGCTGATAACCTCGCGGGCAGTGCACCAACGTGTAGCGCCATTGCAATTTGGGCGTCCCGAGTTCGAGTCCCAGATTGCGGACATTTCCCGATCCTATCCCCCTCTCTCTCCCACATCGGTTCCCATCCACTTACTGTCCTATCTAAATAAAGGCATAAAAACACCAAATATAAATCTAAAAATAAAATAAAATAATGCTAATGGTATGCACTATAGTGTTGTTATTGCTACTAAAACTATGAATATTGTTTTAATAAAAAAAGCAAAGTTGAAATTAAATATAAATATTAGATGAAAAACTTAAATAAAAAAAAAGAAAACTAACTGAAATTGGTTTAAGTTTAAGATGAAATACTAAAACTAAAATAAAACATGAAATTGACAAAAGCACTTAAAAAAGCAACTTAAAATTACTCAAACTAAAATTAATACCAAAACTGAAAATATAAACATACAAGCTAGTTCAAAGCTAAATAATATATTAGCGTAATAGTAAAACATAAAAAAAAATTGCTAGGATATAGATGACCTCAAAGCTAAAATACATGGACAAAAAGCCATGAAACTCTAAATTTGATTTAACAGGGCCTCTAAATGACTCTCTTTCCTGAAACAGAGCATTGGCTATTAATATCTGTTCCTTTGTTAGTTGTTCATTATTGTTCATTATTCTCATGTGTTGACTTTTTTTTAGTCAGGCCAAACAGGAATTTCTGTGGATCCGAAGGAATGTCGGGGTCTCCGTCTCTGGGTGACCTTCATCCACAGAACTTCTGCTCTGTCCGCTGATCTTTGACCTTGTGTAATCCTGAAATCCATGGAAACGATCATACTGACAGAAACACCTCCATCATCTCCCTCGAAAGAGTGATGCATCCTGTTATATGAAGAATGTGGCTTTCTCTTCAAAACATCAGAGCATATTCTTCTTCTTTATCTATCTTTATCTTCCATGTTTTTTTCATGTTCTATCTCTCTCCCCAATTCCTTTATTGCCCTCTGTTATCACATTCTCTTAATTTGTCTACCCTGTTCTTTGTTTCCACATTCTTCCGCTTTTGTTAACGTACCCTCATCCCTGCATCCACCCATCCTCCTTACATGAAGCCAGATGCATGCTGGGAATTATCTTCATGTATGCAAGGGGTACGAGTGGCTTATCTAAGGAGCAGTGTGAATGTGTGTTTAACAAGATAACTGCATGATTGTGATCTTAATGGACACAGTGTACATTTAAAAACACTTTGTTTTTGTGTTAGTATCGAAAATGTCCCTATTATTTTCATAGCATGGTGTGTGAATCAGTGTACAGAGATATGGAAACATTCTAAAAGGATTCTTGGCATTAATGACCAGAAAACGTTTAAAAGGTGAAGTGTGTGGTTTATGTGCCTCTAGAGGCATCAAATGGAATTGCAAAAAATTCAATAAAAAGTACGTGAAAAACAGTGAAAATGTGAGCTTAAAAATTTGAGCTGAGTGGTACGTCAGAATTCATCGTATTTGTAAAACAGTATGTGAAAAGTACCTAAAAAGTGTGCATCTATTGGACACTTACTATCCCATAATGCCACGGTAGAGGATTTTTGAATGGCAGTGAAGTAACGCTGTAGGTCACATGACAGTGACAACATGACAAATCTGGATTTCATTCATACTACACACTTTCATACTATATAGAATGTATTTTTTAACGGTTGTGAAGCAATTTTCACCTTTAATATAGCTAATTTCTGAAATTCGCTGGTTAGACTGAAGACATTTCCTCTCCTAAAATATTCTAACCAACAGTACTGTTTCTCCATAACTAAAGACAAATCCACCCATTGCATTCCTCTCCTTGTTGATGGTGCTGCCACTAAAATCTGGATAAAGCATTGTCTTGCACCCAATCTGTCTAGGGAACTCACAGACGCCAATACACACATTACTCACACATACCTGAATATGGTTTATCTGAACCATACACACACAGTTAAACATACATAATCAGTAAAAATAAATCAATAAAAACTCCCCAACAACAATGATGGTTCTCAGATATACGGCTAAATAATGAACTTAGGGAGTTAGCTAACAGCAAAAAAGTCCTATACTGGCACACTGCAAGCTATCAGCAATAAATCACCCACAAACACTCATACATACACATGCATGCCAACCAGGCCTGGTACTAGGCTCGCTGGATTGGGGGGGGGCAATCAGAAATTGTGGTAGGGCAGCACTTTCTAGGGTAATATATTCATAGTTTACTTTTATTTAGGCTACTCAATTTTCAGTCTTGCATTTTGTGTCTGTGTGAGTACGTACAGAAATGTTAAATATGTGTGTAGACAATATTAAGCGAATCAAGCGAATCACACCCACTGCTCCGGGTGTGTGTTCACGGTGTGTGTGTGTGTTCACTGCTGTGTGTGTGCACTTTGGATGGGATAAAGGCAGAGCACTAATTCCTAGTATGGCACCTCACTTTTCACTTTCACTTATCAAAGCTATGAAAACCTCCATTACACGACATTTATGAATGTCCTCATTTATAAATACAATACATAGTTTTTTGTATATTATAATATAATATTCAGGGCTGTCGCGATTCGTCGAATTTATTCGACTATTCGATTTTTTTTTTTTAATCCTCGACTTCATTTTGCTGCGTCGACTAACCGGCAAAATACCGGAAGTGGCGCATTTCACGGACGAGAATCCATAAAACACATTATTAGACCGTTTCCCAAGGCTGCATGATATATTAAACCCATTTAAAAATCATTATTAAGCATAATTGTGAATTCACAACCGCTACGATTTAATTAAATGAGTATATGCGATGCAGTTCTAATACTGGCCATATGCACCGTTCATACGGGACACATCCTGGCCAGGATTTTAATATTGCATAAAACATCCAAAGCGGTTTGACCAATAACATGCAGGTATTGTATATAATCGACCAATCGTGTGGCTGCGCGTGAGATGGTGAGATCTACAGGAACGTTTAAAGCGATGCAAATATGCGCACGTGTTTGTTCGTTTGACTTGAAGCGTCGTTACGCACCGAAAAAAAAAAAAAAGACACCAAAGTAGGTGCAAGAGCTATTTGAAAGCATAAGGAGCCGTCTGCTCTGCTCTCTATAGCTCTCATGAATGTCATACAATGATCGACCTGCACAGTGCAAACAGCCAAAACATGGATATTTTAGGCAATATTAAAATGGCCGGGACATGTCACGTATGAACGGTGCATATGGCCAACCTAGCAACAAGTGTTATCACTATGTCAGAGACATGCTAGCTTTCCCAAGGCAGATGAATAATCGAGCCGTTCATGCCAATGAAGGCTAATGAAGGAAGACACACACTCACACAAAAATAAATTCAGTATACAGTTTATTTAAAATAGGATATACTAAGTAGGCTTACAGGCAAGCAGGTGATTGTGATTGTAATAAAGGGAATTTTATACTTCACTGAACAGAAATGCACTGTTGTGTTTTCTGCTTGGATGTTACAGTTAGCTTTTTATTATTATTTATAATAAGATTTTGTGGCTATGAGTTCAAATGTCATTATGTGCATAATTGTCAATTTTTCCGTTGAACAAAGTGACTGATCCTTATTTAGATAGTACAAATAATAAGTGTTTAATGCTTATTTTTTATTTATTTTATTTT